GGGGGCGTGGCCTGTGTGTGTGTGTGTGTGTACGTGCGTGTGTGTGGCAACCCCCTACCTCCTCGCGGTGCCGGATGGGCAACTCTGTCGTGGACAGCGCTGTGGGGGGAGATCCAATTTTGATTGGCTCCTCCCCTTATGGCATATGTGTCCACCACAGGGGCTAAACGGGGGCTCTGGACGGGTGCGAGGGGCTGGTAACCCCTCCACCTTCAATTAATTACCACGAAACTACGAATTAAACTGAAATATGTAACAACTAAGCTTGTGCCGGAGGCCCCGGGGGGCCAGGCGTCTATGACGTCTCCTGGCCAAACCCCAATTGGCGGAGCCAGGAGATTGAATACCTACCCTCGGGGCTACTCCAGAAACAACGAAAAGCCACTACGGTTGGCCACGTGGAATGTTCGAACGCTCACTGCAGAGGAGAGGCTGCCACTCCTCTGTCGGGAGCTGGACCGGTACCGCCTGGATCTATGCGGCATTCAGGAGGTCCGGTGGACCGGCTCTGGCTCCTGCCACCATGAGGGGTGGACAGTCCTCTACTCGGGGCAGCAGACTGCCAAACAACAGGGTGTGGGTCTTCTTTTGAACAAAAGAATGAAGGGGGCGTGGGAGCGTGGCGGTGAGGTGTGGGAAGCTGTAAGCCCCAGGCTACTTTGGGCTCGCCTTCCCATCAACCGGAGGCGAGGAATGGTGGTCGTGGTTACTTATGCCCCCACCGAAGATGAACATCCGTGGAGGGATGCAGGCAAAGCCGATGAGTCAGATGCCTTCTATGACCTCCTGTCACAGGTGCTGGCTAAAGTGGCCCCTCGGGATAGAGTCATCATGTTGGGTGACTTCAATGCCCGAGTTGGTCATGATACTGGCACCTGGTCTGGAGTGATTGGAGGGCATGGGCCAGATCAGCTCAATAACAACGGTAGGAGGCTGCTAGATTTTTGTGCAGCCCATGGGCTTGTAATTACCAACACGCTGTTCCGGCATCGGCGCATCCACACAACATCATGGATGCATGCCGGGTCCAAGCAAGAACATCTGCTGGACTACATAGTGACGGACCAGCGAATGCGAGCCCATGTCCTTGACACCAGGACCTACCGTGGAGCTGATCTGCCCTCTGACCATCGACTAGTCATCTGTAAGATGCGCCTGCCATTCTTCCACTCCGGTGGTGGGTGTACACCCAGGACCCCATTCCAACCTAAAGTGGCCTGGTCTCAGTTATCTGATGAAAGTTGCAAGCGAGAATTTCATCATCGCTTGCGGCTGGGATTGGCATCGTCCCCGACTCCTCCTGATGTCGAGGGTAAATGGGCGAGGTTTAGGACTGTGACTCATGCTGCTGCAATGGCTGCTTTGGGTACGCGGTCCAGACCTCCCCAGACACCCTGGATGACAGAGGAGTTGTTCAGGATGGTTGAGAAAAAGCGACAGGCCCACTGTCATCGGCTACAGAATCCCACGTCAGAGAATGAGGAGGCTTACCGCAGCCTTCGCTCGGAGGTTCGGAGAGCCGTGAGGCGCTGCAAGGATGGGTGGTGGTCGCGGGTTGCTGAGGAGATGGAGTCTGCCTCAGTGGCCCGTGATCACAAATCTCTATTTAACTCCATCAAAAAAGTAACCTGCAGCGCCACACCTATTACCATCATTAGGGGAAAAAACGGTGATCCAATTTCCGACCCCCAGGAACAGGTTCGCAGATTTGCTGAGCATTTCTGTGAGGTCCTGGGGGAGGGAAAATCCCTCAGCCAGGAAAACATCGTGGCACAAAGTGAGGATGACCCTGCTGAGGCTGCGGTGCCTCAAATATCGGATGAAGTCACCCCCTGTGAGTGGCTGGCTGAGGTGCCAGCTGCTGATGAAGTATTGAAGGCGATCCGGAGTCTGAGACCAGGAAAGGCAGCGGGCAGAGATGATCTCCCAAGCGAAATGCTGAGGGAGGGTGGCGTTTGTGCACAGACTGCCCTATACGACATCATAACAACAGTCTGGACCACTGGACGGGTTCCGCAGGATTGGAAGGATGCCCTGGTGGTCCCCCTTTTTAAGAAGGGGGACCGCACAGACTGTAACAACTACAGGGGCATCTCACTCCTCAGTGTGCCGGGAAAGGTCCTGGCAAGGATTATTCAGCATCGCCTTGCCAGGCACGCTGAGGAGAGGCTTGCGGAGCCCCAATGCGGTTTCAGGAAAGGGCGGTCCTGCACAGATGCCATATTTTCTGTCCGTCTGCTACAGCAGAGGTGTAGGGAATTCCAACAAGACCTACATCTCTGCTTTATTGACCTGGTCAAGGCCTATGATACCATCAGTAGGCCTGGGCTCTGGGTCGTTCTTCGTGCTTTTGGAGTACCTGACCCTCTGCTCACGATCATTAAGGACCTTCATGATGGTGAGCGGGCCCGGGTAAAACTACGTGGCCGGGAGTCAGAGCCATTCCCTGTACACCTTGGGGTGCGACAGGGATGTCCTCTGGCTCCCACATTATTTAACATCTATTTTGACCACGTAGTTCGTGAAGCCTTCAATAGCTGTACCGGGGGAATCTCCATATGGTACAGATATAATGGGAGGCTAATCGATGCCCGGGTGCGGTCAAGGGATGGCTCCCTATTGCTCAACCACGTTATGTATGCTGATGACTTGGTAATAGCTGCTCAGTCAGAGGAGGAGTTGGAGACGCTGCTGCTGAGACTGGAGCGTGCAACTAAGAGGTGGGGCCTTACCATCAGCCCCACCAAAACTAAGCACCTGCCTGGGTATTTTGTACCATCGGACACTCCACCCCCACAACTACCAATCGGTGATGGGGCAGTTGTGGAGAGAGTGGAGAGTTTCCCATACCTGGGCAGTGTGCTTATGACTGGCTCCTGTTTAACAGCAGAGGTCTCACTCCGAATCAGTCGAGCGGCAATATCTTTTCATCGGTTGCGTAACGCTGTGTGGAAGCTACCTGGTCTGTCGCTCCGCACTAAGCTTCAAGTCTTCTCGGCCACGGTCATTCCCTCCCTTCTCTACGCTTGCGAAACGTGGACCCCCCTAATGGAACATCTTCGCCGGTTAGAAACATTTAGGCTGGCCTGCCTACGATCCATCCTGGGTTTAACCAGACTGGATTGTGTGAGGAGCTCACAAATCCTTGAAAGATCTGGGCAGGGTCCCATCGGTGAGCTCCTCCGGCAGGCAAGGCTGCGATGGCTGGGTCATGTAGCCCGCATGCCCAGCCACCGCATGCCGAAACAGCTTTTGTTTGGCCGGATTGGGGGGGCTAAGCGGGCGCGGCACGGGCTAGAGAGGAGATGGAGTGATGTGGTGCAGGAGGATGTGGAGCTGAGTGGACTTGCCGATGACTGGTGCCAGCGGTGTCAGGATCGGCCTCTGTGGAGGAGGCTCGTGAAGGATGCTACTGGGCAGTTGGAGGCAGTCGCCCTCCAACAACAACGGAGGGCGGAGGAGCGACGCTCACGGCGGCGAGCGGAGCGCCGGGTGGCTAAAGCACAGCAGGTTGGCACAGTAGGGGGCACAGGTGGTGCATCAGCCAGTCATCTCAGTCAGTCGACCCGTGGCACCTGGGTCTGCCCCGTGACCTCCTGCCAGCGGGCGTTCGACACTTCACGTGGCCTCAGGGTGCACATAGCCTGGCACAAGCGTCGTGGTGACGTCACCGCCACTTAGTGGCGAATGGCGGTTGTTGTTGTTGTTGTTGTGTGGCATTCCACAAGCCATCTGCGTTATATGATCCTGGGGGGCGGAGGGGACGACCCTCTTTGTAACAACAAGCCATTCCTCACTGGGTGTTAAATTCTTTTCTCGTGCTGCGGGGAGAGACAAAGACGGCCGGGATCTCTTTCTCTCTCCAACCCTTGAGTGAGAGAAAACAGATACCCCCTTTTCACCGTCCTTCCGTGGCAGTCTGGAGATTTCGCAGATAACCTCTGCCCTCTCTTGGAGTTTATTATTCTATACATTTATGTCCTTTTTACGATTTCCATCTGTGTTTGCGTGTTTTTGGGTTTGTGTGTTTTATGCATTATTTTTCTTTATTATTAAAAAAATATATATCGGCAGATATTATTGTTAATATCAATTTTGGAAAAAGCTCATATCCAACAATAGTTACGACGAAATCAAACTACATGGCACGCACTAATATCTAATCTCGATGCTTTAACGGCACAATTCAAATGTCCTTCGTTTATTAAGTGGTCAAGCTAGGCGGGACCAGCTAGGACACCCAGGAAACCGGAGAGCACAGATTTAGCCACTCCTTGACTTATTCTTATAACAAAAATCACATCTATTTATGAATGCACATTTTTTAATAAATAACAAATACGCAATTAAAACAGGAGAATAATTCAAAGAGCATGTATTTTTTTACTTGACCCCACCCATCCCTCTGCTCCCTGCCCTCCCGCTTTCCCACCGTGGCCTCCCGGATCGCTCTTCCCGGCTTGCTTCTCTTCCTCACCTCCTGCCCTCTCTCATAACCCTCTCCTTTCGTCTCCCCAGCATTCCCTTCCCTACCCTCTAGCCGTCCACTCTTTCTCCAACCCCTCCCTCCCTCTCCACCCCCAAATGTCTCCGATCTTCCCCTCCATTGCCCACCTGCCTATTCCCTCTCCCTCCTCCTGTACCTCCCCACCCCTCCTCTTGACTCGCCCTTAATCCCCCGTAGTCCGCAATTACATTTCCTCCCAATCTCGGAATTCAAAGTTCTAACCTCGCTCTCCATACTTACAAAAAAACGTCCTTTGGTTGTGGTTTCAATGCAAAACCCACAGTCCTTTTTTCAGCACATATACATACAACGTACATACAGCATGAATACAATACACAATACAACATATAACCCACATACAACATATATAAACAACATACGTACAACATAAATGAATCCAAGAAAGCCACACCTGAATCGTAGGACTGCTCCATTGGGTTTTCACTTTGAGTTGCGTTCAGCCAATTAACCACAATTGTTTATACACCGACAGGGCCGCTCGTCTGCTACCAGAAGTTCGAGTACGCGGTAGGCCACTGGCTACAGAAGACGGCCGAGCACGTGATGGGCTGCGTTCTCTGCAGCCCTGGCTGCTTCAGCCTCTTCCGAGCCAAGGCCATCATGGATGACAACGTCCTCAAGACCTACACCACAGTGGCCACCGAGGCCCTGCAGTACATCCAGTACGACCAAGGTAAGCGTCGACGTGTGTTTGGATCTCGCACCTCCTATTAGCACGGTTGGCTACGTGTGGTGCGAAAGAAGTTCAACATGTATACATGTCACGCTGGCGAGATGTTAACTCCCAAGCTTGGTATACAGGAGGTCGTAAGTTCCATCCCGACCCTGACGCGTGTATATTGCAATTTGCGTCTCTCTCCCCATGGTTGCGTAGACTTTCTAAGGGTCCTCTAGTTTTTCCCTCATTTAGATGCAACATCACGTGCTTAGAATCTCTGTGATTGCCAACAAGGGTTTTGCCACCAAGTACGAAGTCATGTTTTGCAGAGGGGTCAAATACTTATTTCCCTCATTAAAATGCAAATCAATTCATAACATTTTTGACATGCGTTTTTCTGGATTTTTGTTGTTGTTATTCTCTCACTGTTCAAATAAACCTACCATTCAAATTATAGACTGATCATTTCTTTGTCAGTGGGCAAACGTACAAAATCAGCAGGGGATCAAGTACTTTTTTCCCTCACTGTATCGTGGTAATACTTGGGCCAAGACCCCGCAAGATCAATTTAATACGTAGACTTTCACGACCAATATTCATGATTCACAATTCATTCCTGCTGGATTAGATTGTCGTGTAGGTTTAGTGTAAATTTGTTTTAACTATAAGCGTCCAACACCCGACAGAGCCAATCGGGTAAGGTTGTTAGGTCATGGGGAAACTACGTCGATTTTGGTTTAATTAGCAAAATCCGAATATTGAAAGGCAAGCAAAATATAAAAAATGTTTGAAGGTGGATGATGCTGGTTGGATGTAGTTGCTGTGGCTCCTGCGTATGCAGCAGTGGGAGATGCAGAGAGAGAGATAATTGCAGAGGGCTACTGCCGGTGCAGCTACAGAGATATGCCGCTCGGCCAGGAGCTGGTGCTGGCTGTGGGTATTATGAGCCGGTTACCCTCTACCTCGCGGACGTCCCCTCTTCCATTTGTTGGTGCAGGTGAGGACCGCTGGCTGTGCACGCTGATGCTGCAGCAGGGCTGGCGCGTCGAGTACTGCACCGGATCGGACGCCTACACCAACGCCCCGCAGGAATTCAAGGAGTTCTTCAACCAGCGGAGGCGTTGGGGCCCCTCCACGATGGCGAACACCTTCAGCATCCTGGAAAATGGCGTCCGCACGGCCAAGAAGAACCCGTCCATCTCTCGGCTCTATATTCTTTATCAGATCATCTACACGGCCACCTCCATCATGGGTCCGGCCACCGTCTGTCTCATGATTGCAGGTGAATTCGGGTTGCCACATGTCTTGGGTTTTTTTATTTACCCGGGTTCATCCTTTTGATGCAGGGACTACATCAAAAGAGACGTCGCCATGGTGGAGAGGCGTTAACTCCCTCGCCTGGTATACAGGAGGTCATGGGTTCGAACCCGACCCTGACGCCTGTATATTTGGAGTTCGCATGTCTCTCCTCGTGGTTGTGTTGATTTTTATCCGGGTTCTCCGGTTTTTCTCTCTACATTTAGAATCAACATCACGCGTTGAGTATTTGGCTGCTATAAATTTCTACGTAATAAGCCACTTCGTTCAGCTATAATTTGTGGCCAAGTTGCTTATGAAGAAGAGCTACATAGCTCAGTGGGCCTTATCTGGTATATTAAAAATAGTTTCGTTTTAAAAAAAAGTTAACTTGGAACACTTCTGCTCACAGTCGTGCATGGCTTCAAGTCGTCACTCAGAGTTGTTCCTTCCACGAGATTTTTGATTGCAAATATTTAACGATAACAATTGGCCATCGTTGGGTGTTTAACGCATACAACCTCAAAGTGAGTGGTCGTGTTAATCCTCTCATCATAACGTATGCGCACTGCTTGCGTTTTAAAAATATTGCGAGTCGTGTTGCTTGTGTACCAGGGTATTCAAACTGCTGCATGTTTCTTTCAGCCAAAAATTCTATACACACAGGCTGCACGATTCTGTTCATCTGAGTGCACTCTTTTCTTTACAGCTGATTGAACGGTTGTCGTTGTCAATCATGGTGGTGATGATGGTGGTGGTTGTGGTGATGAGATGATACTGGTAGGAAACGTAGTGGACTGGAAACCCAACCGGGATTAATTCACAGGAGGCAGGGGATTAATTGTGTATGTCTGTGGATGTCTGTCCATGTGGGAGGGGTGGGGCTGGGTGGAGAGGGGAGGGTAGGGAGGGGAGGGGCTGGGTGGGGAGGGGAGAGTGGGGAGGGGCTGGGTGGGGAGGGTGGGGCTGGGTGGGGTGGGGCTGGGTGGAGAGGGGCTGGTCACCCCGTGGTGCCCTTGTATGGACTGAAAGCCCAACCGGAATTATTAACAGGAGGCAGGGGATTAATTGTGTACGTCTGTGGATGTCTGTCCACGTGTATCCAGACACCCGGATATATAATAAATGCGCTCCTAGTGGGCATTATTGGTAGGAAACGTAGTGGACTGGAAGCCCAACCGGGATTATCACAGGAGGCAGGGGATTAATTGTGTATGTCTGTGGATGTCTGTTCACTTGTATCCGGACACCCGAATAAAATGGGAGGGGTGGGGCTGGGTGGAGAGGGGAGGGTTGGGAGGGGCTGGGTGGGGAGGGTGGGGAGGGGCTGGGTGGGGAGGGGCTGGGTGGGGAGGGGCTGGGAGGGGCTGGGTGGAGAGGGTGGGGCTGGGTGGGGGGTGGGGAGAGTGGGGCTGGGTGGGGAGGGTGGGGAGGGTGGGGCTGGGTGGGGAGGGTAGGGAGGGTGGGGCTGGGTGGGGGGTGGGAGGGGTGGGGAGGGGCTGGTCACTCCGTGGTGCCCTTATAAAACTCAACGTTTAACCTACTCACACCAGTTTGTGTCTGCCCTCACAGTCGGGCATATTTGCGGAATACACCACGCCGCCATTGACCCTGGCCATTGACCGAGCAACCCAACGTTCCTACCAGCTCCCTCCGCAGGAATGTATTAATGATGGTATTCAGCTCGTGTGGTATTTGTCTCGTGCCGGTGCTCAGGTTGCTTCACCTTCGTTTTCAAAATGGACCAAAACTGGGCACTTCTCATCTCCATCGTTCCGCCTGCTCTATACATCGCCGTCTGCTTCAAAACGTAGCCGGACACGCAGATCAAGGTGGGCGCCCACGCTTCTTCTGCAGAAGCACGTGGCACTCATTGCACACAACGTGCTTGCCACAAATGAAACACAATGTACGTATATATGTTGAACTTCTTTGGCACCGTACGTAGCCAACCTTGCTCATCGGAGTTGCAGGGGACGTACAAAAAACTAAACACAAAAAGCAGTCTTAAAGAAATTAGTTTTCAATCTACATGATTTAAAAGTGCAAACTACAGTGGCTTCCTAACATCGGAAGGAATATCGTTCCAGATGGCCGCAGCAGCGCATCTGAAAGCTTGTGATGCGGTAACGGTCTTTGTTCGATGGCTAGCCAAAAGCCACTGCGAGGATAGCTGGAGTTCGCGTGATTGTTTATGCTCTTTGACGTGGTTATCAAGGTATTGTAGTTCATTTGTGGCACGCTCTTTTTGTGTTACGAGTACGACCTTATAACAATGTATTTGGTCGGCAACTGGAAGCTAAAGCAGCTCGGCGAGCACTGGATGGACATGGTCGGGTCTTGCAATGCCTGTTACAACACGTGCCAACGTCCCATAGAGCGGTGTGTTGCAATAATTGTGCCTTATCGATACTATGCTACACATCACCGCGGTGGTTATGTCACTGCTCAATAGTGGTCGAATGTGTCGTGAGCCCTGATATGAAAATTACAGAAATTGACTACATTTTGCATGTGGTGATCACCTGACATATTCTGGTCGAGTGACGCCGAGGCTATTTTAATCACAATCTGAATCCTTGAGTCTGCGACTGCCACACCTGATCCTCGCACAATTTCGTTTCATGCAAACCACACGTGCATCACTCGCTTGCAATATTCGGGGTTGCCGATGCTCTCCACATTTAACTTGGACTTCATTGCGGTGTACAATTGTGAGTCATCAGCATATATATAGAACTTCATATTGAGATGATATTGGCGATCGGAGAGACATATATTGAAAATTAATAGGGCCCGAAGGCGGACCCTGTGGTATGCCGACTAGGCATGGCATAGGAGATGACTTCATCACCTAGCTTGACAAACTGTAATCCACCATACAGGTATGACTCAATACACTTTAGTGCCATACCCGATACACTGAACCTTGACCTTATCTGCTCAATGAGTATCTCATGGTCAATGGTGTCGAAGGTGGCTGAGAAATCGAGGCCAACCAATGCTGCGATGCACCGGTCAGCCATGATCTTTTAGAGGTCAACAGTGACATCTAGTAGAGTCATCTCAAGACTGTGGAATTGTCGGTACACCGACTAGAATGGGTTGAATTTGCCCATCCCAGTGACGTAGGGAATTAACCGCTTCAGACACAGGCACTCAATGACCTCTGAAATTGTACTCAGGTTTGAGATCGGGTGATAGTCTGGATGGTCACTATGGCTCAAGCCAACTTTTTCAGAAGCGGTGTTACCTGCGCCATTTTGCAATGGTCTGGCAAACAGCCCTCGCTGAATGAAATATTTGCCAGGTGGACAATCAGTGGCGCAAGTACGTCCAAGCATAATTTGAGAATTTATATCTGGACGGAGTCGAGCGGCGATGTCTTATTTGGCAGCTGGGCAATGAACATTGACACCTCTGCTACTGACGATGGTGCCAGGGTCTCAAGTTTTGCATTGGTTATCAGGTTGATCAAACTCACATGACAGACCAGGAGAATGCGTTGCTTGCAAGTTAGAAACTGCCGTCTTAATCATCACTTTATTGGCGAAGAACGTTGCAAGTACTGTGCACAGAACCGGCTGACTGGTTGATGGGGTTGGAGTGCAACAGACCCTTCACAATGTGCCACAGAGCACGGGGTCGCGAACTGACTCATTGATGCACAGACCATAGAACGGTCTGCGAGACTCAATAATGAGCTAGTTTTCAAATCTGTAGGCGGCTCTGTAAGCAGTCGGACAATCTGAAAACTAGTTTTTTTTCAAAGACACCCCAGCCTCCTCCGCGTCTTCTTCACAGTATCGCCTCCAGTGACAGTAAGTCACTTCGTGCTTTCCCGTTCTCTGTGTGCTTGTTTGGATGGACACACGTTCAAAGATAGCGATGATGCCATGTTCTAATTGAGCTGCAAATGAATAGACCGTTGATGCATTATTCAGGCTTGCCAATGATGACCGGATCTTCTGACTGAAAGCATCGTGGGTTAGTCGTTTTCAGTTCCTGTATGATATCGTTGTGATGGGTGGGCAAATAATTTGTAATGCCATTTTGCACGTCACAAGACTGATCTGACTTCAATACACGTTCTTATCTTCGATAAGAACGTGTATTGAACGTCGTTTAAAGTTACGACGTCGCCGTATGTGAAGATGTGATCCAGTATACTTCCTGAGCGGCATGTTGCACCGCTGACGTGCTGAGTTAAACTGACTGTCGAACGTTTCGGCGAGATCACTGTTGATTTTACCATAAAAACCAGTCGGTCCGGGACAGTTCTGGTCATCACAGATGATAAAGCGAGAGCCAAATGTCTCACAGTCTCGCAGACCAGAAAGCTAGGAAAATAATTCTGACAGCTGTGAAGTCGACGGTCGATAGACGACAGCGATCGTAAGCCCCCACATGCTGTTCGTTATTTTCACAAGCAGCAGCTTGAATTATGTGATTGTTAATGAGTCGCTCAGGACTTTCACGCAGATTTCTCCACGGTGAATTAGTGCGACCCCATCACCATGTGAACTGCTAGTTTATAGCATAGTTATAACGCAACACAGGATAGAGCAGCGCACCGTGGCTGTTTCCTCCTCTTCCTCCCCCTCCTCCGTTCCGAACACAGATGGACTCGTCCGTCTGAACAAAGCTCGTCGCTCTCCGTGGTGTTAATCCCTCATACTAACATCATGCTAATCCCCCAGTTACATGCTAATTTACTGTTGATATGTAAACTCCTCTCCCCCCTCCTCTGTTCTGAACATAGATGGACTCGTCCGTCTTAACAAAGCTCGTCGCTCTCCGTGGTGCTAATCCCTCACACCAACATCATGTTAATCCCCCAGTTACACGCTAATTTATATGTAAACTGCTTTGTCAAGGTGCTCTGTTCCTCCCACACAGCTTAAAAGACGCTGCCATGCTTGGCAGGGTTCACTAAAGCGCTATCTTCCAGACAGTCCTGTTTCTTCACTTGAGGAAGGCTACTTGTGTTGTGGCCGAAACGTCGTGAGAATTTTATTCTGTTATTATTATTTTTATTATTTCATCTCCATTCTACGTGACTTTACCGAAAGAACCCAGAAGAACAATGAGCTATCATTATTTTGTTGTTGTTTGCAAAGTGCAGGGTGTTGAGGACTTTGTGGAAAAGTGCGGAATAAATGCAAAGTAACTCCCAAGAATTGGTGGTGGTTGGACAAAAGGACGATGGTGACGCCGATGGCTAAGGTCTCCTCCTGCAATGGCGAGATGTTAACTCCCTCGCATGGTATACAGGAGGTCGTGGGTTTGATCCCTATCCCGACCTTAACGCCTGTTATGTATTTGGAGTCCACGTGTTCTCTCTATCTTCCCTCCACATTTAATCTGGCTGCTGATATACATTACCACGTGATGAGCCACTTCGTTGATCTATCATTTGTGGCCAGGTGGCTTCTGAAAAGAGCTTTATACCTGGTATTTTTTTTAAGGTGGCCATGGTGCTCACCGTGATCTACATGTTCCTCATGACGGGCACGCTGCTCGCTATGGTCGGCGACATTGTCAAGAACGGTATCCTCACAATCAGCGGCATCTTCTTCATCACTCTCGCGGGCATCCATCTCATCGAGCGAGTTCTTCTGCATCGTGCACGGATTCTTGTACCTCATCTGCATTCCCACGGGATACCTGCTGCTGCTCATCTACTCATTGGTCAACATGTACAACGTATCATGGGGCACACGTGAGACCAAGGCGCCTTCTGAGCCCTCCCCCAAGGAGGTGAGTTACTTTGTGTGTTATCGTTATTGTCGTTGTTGTTTTTGTGTCGAACGTTATTTGGAGTGTCGCTCCATTCTCCTCTGTTGCTCCGTCCCACACCTCCGATTAGCATGATTGGCTACGTACATTGCAAAAAAAGTGTAACATATGCCCCCAACCCCCGCCAAGACGAAGGCAGCGATCCCCCATGTAGCTTTTAACCGACCGTTGGGGCAAGTGCTGTTAGCGAGTAGCACCTGTGAAGTCCGGAATGGCACATAAGGGGGTAGGTGACCAGCACCATGCCCGGCCGCCTTTGTCTCCATTGTTGTCATGTTTACTACATCACATTTGGCTATTTTTGAGGCTTTTTGAGGGAAGGCCAAGGACTGGTCCAGATGTATGTATGTTGAACTTCTTTCACACCATGTGTAGCCAACTGTGCTAATTGGAGGTGCGAAGGAAGGAACGTTTCTAAACACAAAGAGCAGTTTTTAAGAAATTAGTTTTCAATGTAATGATTTAAAAGTGCATAGCTCCAATTGCTTTCTCATATTGGAAGGAAGAGGGTTCCAGATGGACGCACAAGCGCACCCAAAAGCACGCGATGTGGTCACTGTCTTTGTTCAATGGTTAGCCAAAATCCACTGATGAGGATGACCGGAGTTTGCAAAATTATCGTTTATGTTTCTTGACAAGAACGGTGGTGGTGGCTGTGCCACTCGTGTCCATTAATCCAACACGGTGGGTATCGAGGAGGAGTCGTTCACTGACTTTCCAGGAGAATGCAGTATGACAATTATGGACTCTATCTGTTCCATCTGAATAGAACGCAATGTTTCCCCCTCGCATTTGTGGGTCTATTCCATGGTGTTCTGGTTTCCTGTTCGCCAATAAAATATTCATACATGGAGGACCGCAGAGCTTGGACAGTTATTGGCGCCAGTTCACTGAGCAGCTGAAACTGCCTTCCAGCTTGTGTGCGCTTCCCGCTGGTTTGATATCATTGAAGGACCCTGCCTTCAGCACAATGCCCATCCTCCTGTCCCAGCAGAAGAAGGAACGCAAGCATCGTTTGAATGGAACGAAATGCTGTATACTGCCACTCGAGTGGGACTGCTTCCAGTGGAGGATCAGCGTCCTTCCGAAGAAATACTCGGCGCTGAGTCAGGAGGATGACAGTTCAAGGTGCCACCACCTCACTGAGAGCCTGTAGCCATGCTTTTAACTTTGATCCTTACCTCTCGTGTATCAATAGTTCAATGTTTATGTCCCATATTATTGAGGGACTGTGTTATCTTGGTGTGGTTTGGGACTGTTGTTTTGCTGCCTTGCCCCAAGTTATGCATTTAGTATTGAAAAATTGGCAGTAACTGATGTACTCATGCAAGTTGCACTCATATACTTTATTTATTTTCTTATCTTTCCTATACTTAGCACTGCTATCGTTTTATGTTCTAACTTTCTAATCCCCTACACCTACTGGACATCTGTGAAAAGAGGTTCATAGCTCATTGGCCTCCTCCTGCAGTAGAAATACAGATTCTGATTATTGATTGGCTGTGTCGGGTGGAGGAGGATTTACAATGTAACATTTTACTCAAGTCAATACTGAGTCTTGTCTCAACTTATCAATTGTGATTCTAGTTGTGCTTGTATCTTAGGCGCCGTGGTGGCTAGATGTTAACTACCTCCCCTGGTATGCAGGAGATAGTGGCTTCGATCCCAAACCTGACGATGCCTGTTGCCTATATGGAGTCTGCGTCTATTCCTTTCTCTCCCCATGTTGGTGTGGATTTTTCTCCGGGTCCCCTGATTTTTTCCCTCCTCATTTAGAATCATCATGTGATTAGAGTATTTGGCTGCTGTAATTTCCACGTGATAAGCCGCTCATTGAGTTATAATTTGTGATATTCAGGTCGATTCTACAAATTTTTTTTATATCTCAGTGGGCCTTACATGGTAAAATAAAAATAATGGTTTAGTTTAACAGTTTATCATCATCCATCCCAGCCGAGTGGAGTCGTGCGCGGTGGAACTCGACAGAGAGATGAAGCTGCGTCCAATTGAGGCCAGACAACAGGACACTACGAGCACTCAGATGGAGCATCCTGAAGGAGCAGAGATCGAGGTGAGAGGAGAGGACATCGCGAACACTCATATGGAGCATCCAGAAGGAGCAGAGACGAGACCAGAGGACATCGTGATCACTCAGACAGATCATCCAGAAGGAGTAGAGAGTGAGGCGAGACGACAGGGCATCGCGAGCACTCCGACGGAGCATCCTGAAGGAGCAGAGATCGAGTCGAGAGGAGAGAACATCGCAAACACTCAGATGGAGCATCCAGAAGGAGCAGAGACGAGACCAGAGGACATCGCGAGCACTCAGACAGATCATCCAGTAGGAGTAGAGAGCGAGGAGAAACGACAGGGCATCGCGAGCACTGGGACAGAGCATCCTGAAGGAGCAGAGATCGAGTTGAGAGAAGAGGACATCGCAAACACTCAGATGGAGCATTCAGAAGGAGCAGAGACGAGACTAGAAGACATCGCGAGCACTCAGACAGAGCATCCAGAAGAAGTAGAGAGCAAAAGTCGACCTCCAGAGCAATCAGACACAGACCTCGCCCTCCATACCAAAGGTAATATTTTCATCAAACAAAGGCAAAGTCTTCTTGGTTCTTTCGTTAAAGTCACATAGAATGGAAATAAAATAATAAAAATAAAATAAAATTCTCACGACGTTTCGGCCACAACACAAGTAGGCTTCTTCAGGTGAAGGAACAGAACTCTCGGGACGACAGCGCTTCAATGAACGCTGCTAAGATTCGCAGCGTCTTTTAAGCTAGGTGGGAGAAGTAAAGCGCCTTGACAAAGGAGTTTACACATCAAACAGGATAATTGAGCATTGAAATAGCGGTGTTAAAGTGTTGGATCAGCAGGGTGTTAAAGTCAGAAATTAGCATGTAACTGGGAGATTAGCATGATGTTAATGTGAGGGATTAGCATGTGACTGGTCACGGAAATAGCTATGTTAAAATCAAAGTTTACATATCAACAGAGCCATTTAGTATATGGACGCTAAAGGACTGCAACTATCCAACTATCATACAATAAACCGATGTGAAAAAACTAAGTATAAACTACATCAATATAATAAATGTACTCAATATATTCTTCAATAAGTTGAGCTATTAACATAAAGTAACTGGGTATACACTACACTATATAATGAATACCATATAGTAAACTAATAAAAAACTAAAATATAAACTACATCAATGTTATCAATAAACTCTATATACTCTCCAAACAGCTGAGCTACTAACAATAAGTCGTTATACATTACAATGCCATATGGCGAAAAAATGGGTGGCGGTTTTTTCTTTTCAACGTTAGCACCACGGAAAGCGACGAGCTTTGTTCAGACGGACGAGTCCATCTATGCTCGGAACGAAGGAGGGGGGAGAAACAGCCACGATGCGCTGCTCTGTTCTGTGTTGCGTTACAACTATGTTATAAACTAGACTACAATACATTGCAATGTTATACCTTCCAATCTAAACTACATTGTATAATATCGTTTACAGCCCAATGTAAGCTCTAACATTATGCATTATATTGATATGTCTCCAACTAACTTTTTTCTACATTACACGACTATACACCGTAATATACATTGCCATAGACAAACCCACCATTAAATTATACAATTCGTTACTATACACTACCCTATACTTTAGACTGTAAAATAGACTTGTAATATTACACTATGTATTATTCTACCAACCCTACTGTATACCACACTGCTGTATATTCACTATACAATTACGATACCATATATTGCCTTATGAATTATGTTAAACATTACAATGTTATACTATTTATTATACAACATGCTATACCTTTGACCGTTGTGTGAACGGTATTTAGAGGCAATGCCAGGGAATGGACTGCAGTCTGAAAGTCACCGTAAAATACAATCAATTAAGAACCGAAATGGTTTATAACGTCTTTCCAATGGTTACTAAGCCAGAATCCATCTTCTCGTTTGAAACTGTCTCTGTGTTTGTATATGTGGATGGCCTCATGAACGAATGTCTCATGGTAGCCGGATGGCTTGCAGAGAACCTCCGTGTCATGTGAGCCCACTAAATTATAACAGTGATCTGCCACGGCTGAGGTGTTCGTCCTACCGTGTTTCAAGTCTGCTTTATGTTCACGGATGCGGTCCGAGATATGTCGTTTGGTTTCTCCAATGTAGCTGCTACCACAGAGGCAACTTATTTTGTAGACGCCCGGGTACTGTATGTCTGGAACCACATCTTTTACAGATGGAACCAGATCACGGATTTTATGTACTGTGTTGAATCGGACCTGGATCTTGTGTTTATTCAGGATTTTGGAGATCTTTTTTGTGACCCCCGCAATGTAGGGTAAGGTGATGGTTTTGAATGGCTCCTCAAGAGGATCCTTCTTCATGGCTGGAGTGATGGCTTTGCGGATTGTGTAGTCGGAGTAACCATTAGCCTTGAGAGCTTGGTGTACGTGCTAGAGTTCACTGGCAATGTGTTCCTGGTCGGAAATGCATTGGGCTCTATGGTATAGAGCCTTGATGAGGGAGTTCTTCTGGGACGGATGGTGGTGGGAATCTGGTTTTAAGTAAACATCCATATGCGTAGCTTTCCTGTAGACACAGTGGCTCATTGAACCATCAGGTCTCCTTCTAATTAGGACATCCAAAAAGGGTAGCTTGCCATCTTTATCGACTTCCATGGTAAATCTGATGGCTGGGTGTATGGAATTGATGTGGTCGAGGAATTGGTCTAGAGCAGGCCGGCCATGTGGCCAGATGACAAAAGTGTCATCCACATACCTCTTCCATAAGGTCGGGCGTAGAGTGGCAGTCTGGATGGCGTCAGTTTCAAATTTCTCCATGAAAACGTTGGCTACAACCTGAGATAGGGGGGTGCCCATTGGGGTGCCCTCAGTTTGTTTGTAGAAAGTTCCATTCCAGGTGAAGTATGTGTTGGTTAAACAGTGTCTCACCAGGGGGGGGTATATCAGTATGCAGTCCTTGATGAACCAAGTCTTCAATGGTGTCAGGTACAGGAACTTTGGTGACTTCGCTGGCACTGCCTCTAAATACCGTTCACACAACGGTCAAAGGTATGGTTTATAGTATGTTGTATAATAATAAATAGTATAACATCGTAATGTTTAACATAAATTATAAGGCAATATATAGTATCGTAATTGTGTAGTGAATATACAGCAGTGTGGTATACAGTAGGATTGGTAGAATAATACAGTGTAATATTACAAATCTAATATTTTACAGTCTAAAGTATAGGGTAGTGTATAGTAACGCATTGTATAATTCAAGGGTGGGTTTGTCTATGCCAGTGTATATTATGGTGTATAGTCGTGTAATGTAGAAAGAAGTTTAGTTGGAGACATATCAATATAATGCATAATGTTAGAGCTTACATTGGGCTGTGTATACGATATTATACAATGTAGTTTAGATTGGAAGGTATAACATTGCAATGTATAGTAGTCTAGTTTATAAAATAGTTGTAACGCAACACAGGACAGAGCAGCGCATCGTGGATGTTTCTCTCCCCTCCTCCGTTCCAAGCATAGATGGACTCGTCCGTCTGAACAAAGCTCGTCGCTTTCCGTGGTAGTAACGTTGAAAAGAAAAAAAACGCCACACATTTTTTCGCCATATGGCATTGTAATGTATAACGACGTATTGTTAGTAGCTCAGCTGATTGGAGAGTATATAGAGTTTATTGATAACATTGATGTAGTTTATACTTAGTTTTTTCACATCGGTTTATTGTATGATAGTTGGGTAGTTGCAGTCCTTTAGCGTCCATATACTAAATGCCTCTGTTGATATATAAACTTCGACTTTAACATAGCTATTTCCGTGACCAGTCACATGCTAATCCCTCACATTAACATCATGCTAATCTTCCAGTTACAAGCTAATTTCTGACTTTAACACCCTGCTGATCCAACACTTTAACACCGCTATTTCAATGCTAAATTATCCTGTTTGATATGTAAACACCTTTGTCAAGGCGCTTTACTTCTCCCACCTAGCTTAAAAGACGCTGCGAATCTTAGCAGCGTTCATTGAAGCGCTGTCGTCCCGACAGTTCTGTTCCTTCACCTGAAGAAGGCTACTTGAGTTGTGGCCGAAACGTCGTGAGAATTTATTTTATCATGTTTTATTTGTAATAGTTTATTTCCATTCTACGTGACTTTACCGAAAGAACCAAGAAGATGAATCCCTGCAGTCACGAAAGCTTTAAATAGAAAATTAAATGCGAAGTCATTACTTGTCAGTTAAACAAGACCGCGCATCTGAAATCACGCGATGCGGTGACCGTCTTTGTTCGATGAATGGATGAACGAAGTGTGGGTGATGGTTAATGCTCCTAGACGAGATTAGCAAGCTATTGTGATTCATTTGTGGCAAGCACTCTGTAATGAGGGCATGTTGCTGCTGCTGCAGTAGAAGCGTGGGAGATTGAGGAATTATCTCCCCCTGTTCTGCATGGGCATCTTTTTCTCCAGTTTCCTCCGATGTGTCATTGGTATTGGCCAAAATTTTACACTTCTGAAAAAGATAACTGCAAATCACTTAATTTGGACCGCACTCAGCAGCAACATCACCCCTCTACTACGGTAACTTGGTAAGACCCTCATGAACACAGAGCCTTGCGACTCAGCCAGGCTTTGTTGCAGGCTAAACCAGCCTAACGATGAGAATAATCACTACCGTCTGTGCAGCTCTCTTCGCTGAGTCACGGTAAACTTTTTTCCCGAGCCTCTGTGGGAGTGCACCGCACATCGCTATCCTCCTTTGTCCCTTGCAGGGCGCCATGACCTCGTGTGGCAGCGCCACCAGAAGATGCAGGTCATGTTTGAGAACGTCCTGCCTCAGGGTTACGCCATCACGCAGAGGTGCAGCCTCGATCAGGTGCGTCCTTGTGTCTGTGTGTCTTTATGTCTGTGTGTTTTTATGTCTGTGTCGGTCTTTGTACGTGTGCTACATATACGTTGTGGGGAGTGGTGGCGCAGTGGTTAACACACTGCGCTTAGAAACGAGCGACCTGAGTTCGATTCCCGCTCAGTCACCAACACCAGTGACGATTATCTGAACCGGTCCTATGTCTCTCCTAGGTCGACTCAGCCTCAAATGAGTACCTGGTGTAGTGTATAAATATCCCAAATTGAAGAGACAAAGGTGGCCGGACGTGGTGCTGGCCACCCACCTCCTCGTGTGCCGTGCTGGCCTTCAGAGGTGGTCGCTAACAGCACGTGCCCCAGCAGTCTGTTAAGACTACACGGGGGATCTTTGATCTTTGTCCTAGTTCGTGTATAAGTGCCCAGAAGATAACAACCAACTTTAATGAAGAAAATATATCGGGAAACTGCCTGGCAGCTAATTAGGCCCTTCCTACTGAAATAAATAAATCTATCAAAATAATATCGAGATGTTTACGTTTAAGATTTTACATTAATGTTGGGGTTCTTGTACTAAGCAACTCAATTAATTTAGAAGTCATCATTCCCCTCCCCCGGCTGCCTGTCTCGCTTAATTGTTCAACGCATTGGCCAGATGTCCAAATATTGCCGTCAGTTGACTGAGTGTCGTTTTCTGTGACGATCAAACAAGTGGCGCGTTCCTCTAATGTGTGGCTTTGAGACTTTGAAAAAAAGGTACCTTAGCACTGCATTGTTCTGGGAGAGTTCCACTCGCAGTTTTTATCTCGTGCAAGGACAGTGCAATTTGGATAACAATTCTGGACAGTGGACAGGAAGTGATGTCATGATTCTTGGAGGTGGTGGTGGCTAGGCTGGTGCTACACGTGGTTGGTGGATCACACACTGAGAAGATGCCGTGAATTTCAGTTCCAGTGGGCGTCAGAAAGGAGCCGCACCCTGGCTTGCCAGGAGCGGGTGGTACAGCAAATGTAGAATCCACCTGTTCCGTCTGTATAGGATATAATGTTGCCCCCTCACACGCGTGCATTTTCTCCGGTTGCTCCGGTTTTCTGCCACATGTGAACAATCATTAATTGGCCGAGAACACATTTATATGCAGAGGACTGCAGAGCTTGGGCAATTGTTGGTAGCACCGTCTCATGGTGTGCATTGCTGCTGCCTTCCCATCTATATGTGATTCCTCCTCGTGTCTCTGAATCCCTCCCTATGTCTCTCGTCGAAAGCGAGCAAATAACTGTGCAGTGATCGGGCATTACAAATTACCATTAATATTAATTTTGATTTAAAGCCTTCGTGACTGCAGGGATTCATATTCTTGGTTCTTTCGGTAAAGTCACGTAGAAGGGAAACAATAAAATAATAAAAATATAAAACAACAAAATTATCTGTGGTAGTAGTTACATTAGAGAAACCAAACGACATTCGTGAACACAAAGCAGACCTAAAACACGGTAGGACCAATACCTCGGCCGTGGCAGATCACTGTTATAATTCAGTAGGCTCACATGACATTGACTTCTCCAAGACAGAGGTTCTTTGCAAGCCATCTGGCTACCATGAGAGATTCGTTCATGAGGCTATCCACATATACAAACACAGAGACAATTTCAACCGAGAAGATGGATTCTGGCTTAGCAATCATTGGAAGGATTTGATAAACCATTTCGGGTCTTAATTGATTGTTCACGCTTACGGTGGCTTTCAGACCGCATCCATTATTTTCGTCTCCCCCCTCATCTTTTCTGAACATAGATGGACTCGTCCATCTGAACAAACTGTAAAATCGCTCTACGTGGTGCTAACGTTAATAAAACCGCCACTTTTTTCAAATTTTCTTGCTGTGGTTTTCACAGCTGATGATGATTGCTTGTGTTGCAGTCGAAATGTCGTAAGAATTTTATTATTTTATATTTTAATTATTTTATTGTTTCCCTTCTACGTGACTTTACCGAAAGAACCAAGAATATTAATATTTTCATTATGAGACCTCCTTTGCCAGTAACAAGATAGGTTTACCCTTTTAACTGGCACAAAAACTGAAACCTTTATTCAAGGCATCATGTTTGCAATAACCACAACACAAGCAGTCAAAAGGCAAACAAAAGAGACAACTCAGATAATAATATGCACTGTCCTTGAATTTGATTGGTCCACACCCGAGACGGCTTTTCTTAGAGCCTAGTCTCCACTGGTGTTGGACCAGAAGCCGCCAAAAGGCGTACAACTCAAAAACAGCGCACTATCAGAGTATTGAGGGCTCGGGGTGAGCATTTACATTATGAGACCTCCTTTGCCAGTAACAAGATATAGTAAAAGGTTTTACCCTTTTAACTGGCACAAAAACTGACACCTTTATTCAAGGCATCATGTTTGCAATAACCACAATACAAGCAGTCAAAATGCAAATAAAAGAGACAACTCTGATAATAATATGCACTGTCCTTGAATTTGATTGGTCCACACCCGAGACGGCTTTTTTTAGAGCCTAGTCTCCACTGGTGTTGGACCAGAAGACGCCAAAAGGCGTACAACTCAAAAACAGCGCACTATCAGAGTATTGAGGGCTCGGGGTGAGCATTTAACACCAGTGGAGACTAGGCTCTAAGAAAAGCCGTCTCGGGTGTGGACCAATCAAATTCAAGGACAGTGCATATTATTATCAGAGTTGTCTCTTTTGTTTGCATTTTGATTGCTTGTGTTGTGGTTATTGCAAACATGATGCCTTTAATAAAGGTGTCAGTTTTTGTGCCAGTTAAAAGGGTAAAACCTATTACTATTACAATATTAATATTATTCATCGGAGTAAGTTGTTGTTATTTGGACAATCGCACGAAGTGAACCTTCTGTCCCGTGGATGGGAATGTATAGGAGGAAGACGAGTTTTGGAAGAGCATGATCAGTGACTACCTCAAGCCTCTGGAGGAAGATGACGATCACAGGAAACGCGTGAAGCAGGAACTCTTCGAGATAAGAAACAAGGTACTGGCAACGCGTCATCGCGAGTACCGGAGATGCTTCGATAACAGAAAAATTGCGTTCCAGCGACAACGCGTTGTGCAAACAGCAGGCGTTAAGCGAGTACTTACCGTACTTGGCATGTGGTAGAAGAAGATTTAAACGGCATTAAATTACCTATGCCTTATTATTCCTACGAATGAATTGTTAATTGTTCCAAAAATCCGCTAATCCTGTAAAATACATGAACAATAAAACAATAACAACAGAAGTGACCATTTGGCGTCGAGAGTGGACAGTGGGGGAGGAAAATGAACGCACAAAGAGGGGATCCATAAACAGCCCGGGGTCATCCCCCCCGCCACTCGGCCAATGCAATGTAAATCAGGCCTGGTCTGTCTGTCCCAACGTGCAGGGCACTTTCGTCTACTTCATGATCAATGCACTGTGGCTGGTGGCGACCCTGGCACTGCAGTTCGTGGGAGCCGACCTCTACATCCAGATCCCGAGCACGAAGAACGAGGGGACGGTCATCGACGTGCTGCCCCTCGCCTTCATGTTCCTCATCACCTTCTCCAGCATGCTCATTGTCCAGTTCCTGGCCATGCTGTACCACAGGTGAGGAGGAGGGGAGGGGGTCGACCCATGCGTGGCCATAGGGGGTGTGTGGGCATGCCGACTCAGTGACCAACAACAGTAACGATTATCTGAAATGGTCCTGGACCTCCCCCCTTGTGCCGTACCGGCCTTCATAGGTGTCTAAAGTAACATCTGCACCGGTTAGAAACATTCAGGTCACCCTGCCTACAATGCATCCTGGGTTTAACCAGACTGGATTGTGTCAGGAGCTCACAGATTCTTAAAAGATCTAGACACATTCCCATTGGTGAGCTCCTCTCACAAGCGTGGCTGTGTTGGCTGGGTCATGTAGCCCCCATGCCCAGCCACTGCATGGCAAAGCAGCTATTATTTGGCAGGATAGATCAGACTAAAAGGGCACGGCATGGGCTAGGGAAAAAAAGGAATGATATGGTACAAGAGGATATATAGAGATGAGTGGACTTGCCAATAACTGGTACCAGCGGTCTCAAGATCGGCCACTCCTGAGGAGATGCTACTTGGCAGTTGGAGGCAGTCGCCCACCAGCAATAATGGAGGGCAGAGGAGCGATGCTCGCATCCATAAGCAGAGCACCGGGCAGCTAAACACAACAATTTGGCACAGTAGGGGTCACAGCTGGTGCATTGTCAGTCATCTCAGTCAGTCAACCATTGGCTCCTAGGTCTGTCCCGTTACCTCCTGACATTTTGCCACCGTGGCGCCCCGTGCCCCTCCCCCTTCCCCTCTGTGCCCCCCCTCTGCCCCCGTTCAGGTTGTTCACGCTGCTGCACGTGCTCTCCTACGTGGAGTCGTCGTCGTCGGGCCAGCAGTCAAAGAGGGGTGCTGTTGGTCGAGACAACAAAGCATTCGTCAACGATGGAGACGACGATGACGCTCAGCAGCGCCGTCTCAGAGAGATTGTCTAACAGATCCCTGGACCCCCTCCTCACACGCCGCACGCGGGTCCCCTCCCCGCACACAGCACATGGACCCCTTCCACTCACGGCGCACCTGGACCCCCTCCTCACAAGCCGCAAGTGGCCCCCCTCCATGCACGCTGCTCGTGGACCCCCTCCTCGCACGCTGCTCGTGGACCCCCTCCTCGCACGCTGCTCGTGGACCCCCTACTCGCACGCTGCACGTGAATCCCTTCCTCGCATCCTCGCACGCTGCACGTGGACCCCCTACTCGCATGTCATACGTGGACCCATGCACGTCGTGGTTTATCAATGACGGTGCGGTCAGTAAAGGTGCAGCCCTGCAAGATGCTTCCCTTGTTGGAAGAGGTGGGAGTTACCCACGCTTTACCCCACCACCGCATGCGACCTGCCGATCGACCAACTGTGCTGTATCCATTTACGCAGCTGGGTGGACAGAGGCAGCGAGATTTAAGAAGCTTGCAGCGTCGCTCCAAATGCCAGGCCTAAGGATCGACCTCTAGATCGCAAGTGTGGTGACGTGTTAATTGCAGCAGGGCAGCCTCTCATTACAATGGAATGCAGTCAAAAGGGCTGCTGAACAACAACGGTGGACATCACTTGTGATATCATCGGCTAAAGTAAATGTAGGGGCTTTGAAGCTGCTCCTGGCCACGGACAGAGAAGTCGCTTCTATGTAGCAGTGGTCAGATGAAGGAAACGTCCTGTTGTTGTTTGTATGTTCAATTTATTTTGCACTGCACTTAGCCAACCATGCTATCGTGGATGTAAACATCACCCACACATAGACTGTCCCGTTAACCATAGAAGTTGATCAAATCACATTTTTACGCCTGATTAATTTAGAGGTCGAGCGACCCACATGGGAAATCTTGTTTTTAGAAAGGTTTCTCTACCAAACACAGAAAACGATTCCCCATATCGCTTTAATAGACTTATGGAGCTGTTAGTGAGCACCTAATAACGGCAGGCACAGCACACAAGGTGGGTGGCCAGCACCAAGTCAAACTGCATTACCGCACCATTTTATCATTTGAGGCTGAGTCGACCTAGGGGAGGCCCAGAACCGGTTTAGATAATCACCACTATTGTTGGTGGCCATGAGTGGGAGTCGAACTAGCGTCCTAAGGCTCAGATACTTGTGCAGGGCTATGAACACGAGTTTTATTTCATGTTCACTGATGGTCAGATATATATGCCAACATATATTTATAGATATTTATAATACTCTTTGGTTCTTTCGGTAAAGTCACGTAGGTATAAAATAAAATAAATCACGACGTTTCTATTGCAACACAAGCAATCATCATCAGGTGGGAAACCCAACAGCAAGAAGTTTTTTCTACTGAAGTGGGAGAGAGATGCCATGGTAAGAGGTTTCTAGGTAAGAAAGGGGGGCGGGGCAAGGGGGGGAAAGAGGGGGTGTGTGGGCTAGGGGGAGGGGATCGTTGCGTGGACGCTAGATTGATATGTATAATGTGGTTTATTTACAGAGATGTAGAGTTACATTGAGACTGTGTGGATAAATAAAACAAGACAGAGAAGAAGCAGTCATCCATCCAGAGCACCACGTTCAGATAGTTTCCCCAAAATATTGTATTGGAGATGTGAATCCATAATTTTAATGCTAAGGCAATGTTTCGCTGCTATTTGCCGCTGAGAAGATGTTATCTCCCTCGATCGGTACACAGGAGGTCATGGGTTCAATGCTGGACCCTGGCGGTGCCTCTGTTATACTTTTGGAGTCGGCGTGTGCTCTCGCTGTGGTGGTCGGAGCTTGGGTTTTTATCCGGGTTCCTTGGTTCAGATGATTAGACTGCTGTTATAAATTCTCACGTGTGGTGATATCAGCTACTGCGATCATCAGCTATCATTACGTGTGACAAGCTCGCCTATGAACAAGAGCTAAGAGCACAGTTGAGTTTAACTGGTAAATAAAACTGTGAATTCCCTTGCACCTTCTGAGGACGGTAGTGTCTTGGTCAACAGGTCACTTACCAAACGCTTAACGATCGATCCAAACCTTTTAGGTCCACGCTTCGCTGGGCGCGTATAGTGGTTACGCACACGTTAAGCTCTGTGTCTTTCTGGTGGATGCGTTGTCGGGCTGGTCCCATGGTGTCTGAAACGTGGAACAGCACGAAGGCGTTGGTGGTGAGCGGCTAAACGTGCACTCCTCCCCTATCCCCCCCAGATGAATGTAGGTTACACTCCTCTGCTTGACAATAAATCCCAAAGGTTATTTTTAGTTTATAACGTCGCGATTTATAGCTTTTGTTAAACTTGACAAGATTACGTTTTAGTTCATGGCAATGAGAATAGAGTTCATTTGTAGGAGAACATATTTGCACGATGCTATTTAAGTAAATTAACATACAATGTGGTAACACGGCACGTACTGATTATATACACTTTATTGCCTATTGTTTTTTACTTTGCACAAATATAGTTTACTGAACTTTTGCAAGCCGTTATCAGTCATGTATTCTCGACTGCTTGCATAGAGATAGTGGCGCAGCCCTGCAATGAATCACCCCTCCGGGCGATTGAGACAGCCTGCCACCTACAGATTGCGCAACAGCGCCCCACACGACTTCCAGCCGTTTGAACTCGGTCGTTGGTGTAATTTGCATTCTTATCTGGAGTAAACCAACCTCCAAATCTACATATCGCTGGGTTCACAGTTTAGCGCGCTAATCAATACTGCACCACTCACTTTAGCATTGCCACATCCAAATAAATAAATGCGTATGCACCAACCGCTTGAAATAATGCCACATCGCATAGTCGTCGTGTCGACAATTAGAGAGGTAGCCAGGTTGCTCAAAGATCAGCGCTGGACTGGTACCATTGAGAAGCTGGGTTCAACCCCGGCTACTGAAACTAAACTTTTATTTTTATTTTACCAGGTAAAGTCCACTAAGATATACAGCTTTTTTTTAAATAAGCGACCTGGCCACAAATAATAGCTCAACGAAGTGGATCATTAATCACGTGTACATTTGTAGCAGCAGTCAAATACTCTAAACGCACTTTGATTCCAAATATGGAGAACAATCCCAGCGACCACGAAGAGAAAGAGGCATGCAATCTCCAAACAGGCAAAGCATACAACAGGCATAGCAGGCGAGGTAGTTAACATCTCCTAGTCACCGTGGTACCCTGCCTGTGACTGGCAGGGCTCTCCCGGTATAGTTAGCTGATGGCCTCAGCCCGGTCACCAACGATTCAAAGACGGATTGTAAAAAAACTAATTAATTGGTATTGGTTCCCACGTGACCACTTGATTTGATTTGCTCTGACGGATGGTGGAGAGTATATCTGAATATTGCCTTTATACTCAAACCATCTAACCCAAAGTAAACAGACAGTCCTCGACTTGCGAGCGTCCGACTTACGAACGCCCGCTTCCATGAAATATATTTAAAAAAAGAAAAATATTGATTTAAAATGCGAACTCGTAATTGCAAACTGAACTGCCGGCTTACGAACCGTTCGAATTTCGAACAGGTCTCAGGAACGAACTAGGTTCGTAACCCGAATACTGCCCAGAAATAACTTCTGCTCAATAGGTTTGTGGTCATATATAGTTACTAATTATTGTTAACATGGGGATAGTACATTTGTGTGATGTAGGTGCTGGATGTGGTCATAGCTGGGATCCTATCCTTTTCTATATTTATAGAGCACCTTTGGTCAAGGCACGCTTTCCAACATTTAAAAGCTGTAACAAAAACAAAGTGATTTATATGGCAAGGGCAGTGCAAGGGCCGAGGAATGAGTGTCCCGAACAGAGGACATGTGGCTTCATGCAAGAGATATAGGGAAGGAACGGAACAAAATGGAACGGTGGGGAGGGAAGAGGATGGGCTATTAAAAAGAGGTGAGGCCTTCAGAGAGGAATGGAAGGAGGTTATGGAGGTGGCCTGCTTCATGTTCAAGTATCTCTCTATTTACAAAGTTCGATTTTACGAAATTTCACGTTCATGCAATTGACAAATTACGTGTTCTAATGCTGTACTGTGCTGTGTGATTGTCACGAGGCCCCCATGGTGTCAGCCAGCGCTGGTCTCAAACCCTCGGTACCCACTATATCTGTTTACCTGCTATGAAGTAGGGGCATTGCTCGAAACGTCGACAATTATATACATGTCCTTTCAATGCATTGTTGTTAACGAGTGTGTTGTAGAGGAGGTTAATTGACCATACTTCACCACGCTGACCAAACCGGGTTGGTGGAGGTAGGTGAACATTATATAAACGTGGAGAGGAAGGAAAGTACGGTACAATATTTGAATTAATACGCACACAGTGGGGAGCACAGGCGTTGCCTCTGCCAGTGCTCTCAGTCAACCCACCGCTCCTGGGTCTGTCCCGTGAACTCCTCCTGCACCCAGCTGGCACAGCAGTCAACCCATAGCACCTGGGCCTGTCCTGGGACTCCTACCAGTAGCAAGCCTCCCACACTGCAAGTCGACTCAAAGTGCACTTAGCCTGTGACAAGCGCCGTGGTGACGTCACCACCACTTAATGGCGGATGGCGGCTGTTGTTAATGCACGGTGGAACAGAGTTCAGCTTCCAATGAGTAGGATGGTACGGTGTATGTGTGTATAAAGCAGCAGCACTGGAGAGACAAAGGTGGCCGGGTGTGGTGCTGGCCAACCACTCCCTCGCGTGCCGTACCGGGTTTCATCGGTACTTCTTGCTAACAGCACTTGTCCCAACAGCCTGATAGAGGCTATACATGAGTCTTTGTCTTTGCAGTGGTTTGTGCACTGCGCCACGGTCTCTGTGACCTTTATTGCACTGAGGTCCAGGTCGTTATAGGTCCAGCCTTGACGAACGCCTTTCAACGTATTGCATGCTTCTCCAAATTATAAGACGAATCCCAAAACATACATATTTGGCCTCACACAAGACAAAGATCGCCCGTATAGCCTGAACAGACTGTTGGGGAAAGTGCTGTAAGCGAGCACCAATGAAGGCTGACACAGCACACGAGGGTTGGGTGGCCAGAACCACGCCCGGACGCCTTTATCTCCCCAGTGGCCATGTTAACACATTACACCGTACCGGGTAATAATGTGAGGCTGAGTCGAAGTTAGGGGAGGCCGTGAGCAGGAATCGAACTCGGGTCACCAAGTTCGTAGCGCCGAGCGCTGCTCTTCACAATAACAAAAAGTCGCCATTCGCCACTAAGTGGTGGTGACGTTACCATGACACTTGTGCCAGGCGATGTGCACTTTGAGGCCACGTGAATTGTCGAAGACCCTCTAACAGTAGGTCACAGGACAGACCCAGGTGCCATGGGTTGACTGAGATGACTGGCAGATGCACCACCTGTGCCCCCTATTGTGCCAACTTCCTGTATTTTTTTCGACCCGGTTATCCGCTCATTGTTGTGAGCGTCGCTCCTCTGCCCTCCGCTGTTGTTGGAGGACGATTGCCTCAAACTTCCCAATAGCGTCTTCTAGGTGCACGTAGCCTGGCACTGCACAGTAGCATCCTTAACGAGCCTCCTCGCTCACTCTACACGAAGCTGCGGGTCGTGCTCTTACATGTGGACGTCTCCTAGATTATAACTTTTGCTTTAAAATGCACAAGCCAAATGTGCGTCTCAGAATCGGCAGACCGCGGTAGAATGGAGAAGGATGTTGGAGTGGTGGTGCCGCGACTGGCACATTAAAATAACAACCCGCCGAGCCGAGTTAGATAGCAAGACACGGCTAACATCTGCAGTGGCGAAGTGATGACACCTTGGATGAAGGTGAATCATTCCAAAAGCACGATTAACGATGATCCGTACCTCGAGATTCCTGGCTGGCTGCTGGCTGGGCGCCTCTCCACTCCAACCACAATTACTCCGCTGTTAGTGGCTGCTGTAGGCCGTTGCTACAGAAACTAGCTGGATAACATAACTGGCTATGCGTGATTATTTGTCGAACAAATGAAATTAAACGGCTTAAACGGAAGTCCGGCAGACGTCTAATAATAGTAATAATTATAATCATTAATTGGCATAGATAGCGACACCGAAAAGGTGGAAATAACGAATAGAGAATACTGACCACGGCTCATTTAAAATCGCTCTAACTTTTAAATGTGCTCCTATCAACGTAATTATTTTGCCAAGATGCTTATTTCCTAGATGTGTGTGTATGTATATATATAACCTCAGTCTTTGCGTTTTATTATCAGAATCAGAATCTTTAGTTATCCTGGAGAAATATGATAAGCTATGAAGATATTTTTCAGAGATGTCCAGTAGGGATGGGTCAGAAACTTAAACGAGAGGAGTAAGCAAATCACTCAAGATAAATGTATCAATAAATGAAAAACTAAAAAAAGCTATTTAATTTACCAGGTAAGGCCCACTGACTTATTAGCT